GTGTGTGTGTGTGTGTGAGAGAGAGCGAGTGTGTGTGTGTGTGAGTATGTGAGAGAGTGTGTGAGTATGTGAGAGAGTGTGTGTGTGTGTGAGTATGTGAGAGAGAGAGAGTGTGTGTGTGTGTATGTGTGAGTGTGTGAGAGAGAGTGTGTGTGTGTGTGAGAGAGAGAGAGAGAGAGAGAGAGTGTGTGTGTGTGTGAGTGTGTGAGAGAGAGAGAGAGAGAGAGAGAGTGTGTGTGTGTGTGAGTGTGTGAGAGAGAGAGAGAGAGAGAGAGAGTGTGTGTGTGTGTGAGTGTGTGAGAGAGAGAGAGAGAGAGAGAGAGTGTGTGTGTGTGTGAGTGTGTGAGAGAGAGAGAGAGAGAGAGAGAGTGTGTGTGTGTGTGAGTGTGTGAGAGAGAGAGAGAGAGAGAGAGAGTGTGTGTGTGTGTGAGTGTGTGAGAGAGAGAGAGAGAGAGAGAGAGTGTGTGTGTGTGTGAGTGTGTGAGAGAGAGAGAGAGAGAGAGAGAGTGTGTGTGTGTGTGTGAGAGAGAGTATGTGAGAGAGTGTGTGTGTGTGTGAGTATGTGAGAGAGTGTGTGTGTGTGTGTGTTCACCTCTGTCTGAGTGTGAGCTCTCGTGTCGATCTGCTGGACTGAAACTGTTTGAAGTGAGGAATGAGGTCGGGACCCAAACGAATGTAAGCGCCTCTGTTACTGCCAACGTCATAGTAATTAGAGGCTGAAAATATCGTCAAAACCTGCAAATGCAAAGTAATCAACCCTTCAGATCACACCGTCAAACTCTACATGGATGGATGAGTGTAAATGGAGGGATGGCTCACCCTGCCGTTGTGGCAGAATTCATAACCTTCCTGCTTGCACTCATGAGATCTGATGAGCAGCTGCAGTTTGTGTGTGTCCAGCACTTTGTGTGTGACGTCCGGCCCCCAGTAACACCCGCCTCCTCGAACCTCGTTAGGGACACAACCGTTTTGAGACATCGGGTCACTCCACAGAACGTCCACTATCTGCAGAGTGTGTGTGAGACAAACTGCACTTCAACTCTTGAGTGCACATGATGTCTTAATACTCAAGGACAACACCTCCGGTCATATTTACACGCTACATATTCTGACTGAGAAAAGTGCTGTCTTTTTGGACATGAATCTAAAGCATGGAGGGAAATGTGTTCTGCTTAAGCACAACATTATTCACTGTCGGCATCAGAGATAAGCAGCTTTGGTCTTAAAGGTCCCTCAACGCTGCACATTTTGAATGCCTTAGGAATGTCAGAGCAATTTGATTACGGCAAATGACAACACGATCTGCTGGACTGAAACTGTTTGAAGTGAGGAATGAGGTCGGGACCCAAACGAATGTAAGCGCCTCTGTTACTGCCAACGTCATAGTAATTAGAGGCTGAAAATATCGTCAAAACCTGCAAATGCAAAGTAATCAACCCTTCAGATCACACCGTCAAACTCTACATGGATGGATGAGTGTAAATGGAGGGATGGCTCACCCTGCCGTTGTGGCAGAATTCATAACCTTCCTGCTTGCACTCATGAGATCTGATGAGCAGCTGCAGTTTGTGTGTGTCCAGCACTTTGTGTGTGACGTCCGGCCCCCAGTAACACCCGCCTCCTCGAACCTCGTTAGGGACACAACCGTTTTGAGACATCGGGTCACTCCACAGAACGTCCACTATCTGCAGAGTGTGTGTGTGAGACAAACTGCACTTCAACTCTTGAGTGCACATGATGTCTTAATACTCAAGGACAACACCTCAGGTCATATTTACACGCTACATATTCTGACTGAGAAAAGTGCTGTCTTTTTGGACATGAATCTAAAGCATGGAGGGAAATGTGTTCTGCTTAAGCACAACATTATTCACTGTCGGCATCAGAGATAAGCAGCTTTGGTCTTAAAGGTCCCTCAACGCTGCACATTTTGAATGCCTTAGGAATGTCAGAGCAATTTGATTACGGCAAATGACAACACAAGCCAAACACGATTACATCACACATTAAATAATTCTAAACAACAACAACACATGCTGTCTGGTCCTTAGAGCACAGTAGACTACCTACACACTCCAGCAAAAAAGTGCCATGTTATTTCCATGGTGTAGTTGATTTTATTCCATGGTAAAGCTGTAGTATTCTTTGAAGTAAATTATGGTAATCACTCAGTACCACTGTATATATTAAAGTACCGTGATATTTCTGATACATCCCTTTACCATGGTATTGCCACAGTAGTTTTTTCTAAGGTTTCTTAATTGTTTGGTCAAACTGCGATGAGACAGTTGTGTGTGTGTGTGTGTGTTTTCACTGTCATGATGCTCCAGTGAAGTTCAGTGGGTTTGTGTTTTCACCTGTTTCCATTCATTAGTGTCTGTCTCCAGAACCTCAGCAGGATCTGAGTCGGACGACAGACTGAGGCCTGCCAGGCGGCGTCTCTCTCGCAGCTCCTCCTCGACGGAGCGGCTCGTCCGGCTGGACTCGGAGTGCACCGAATGCCGCGGCAGCTCCTGTCTGAGTCGCAGCGGTGTGCCGTGAGTCAGAGACTGAACTCTCCTCCGACCCGTGCTGAGCTCGTCATCTCCGTCTGGGTCGAGAGCCGCTTCCTTCAGCCTCGCCGATGCTCCACTACTCTTCAGGGGCCTGAGAGCCGAAACGAACTGAGGGGAAACAGCCCAGAAGAGAACGACTGACACACATGAAACACAACACCCTCCACTGAATCTCATGCGATTGCTGAAGAGTAACGTACTCGGTGACGGTCCAGTTTGGCGATCACATTCAAGTCTGTCTTGTCAGAAATTCCTCCGTGTAGAATCAGAACTTTCTGGTCGATCACTGTGGCCAGCGGCAACCAGCTGAAGATCTTCTGCAGAAGTTTAAGAATCATTTTCCCATGAACCTGTGATGATATCAGAGAAAAGCACTCAGTATCGCTCTTTCATGTCATGAAGATGACTGTTTGTGTTTGGAGTCATTTACCGCGAGTTCTTTCATCAAATAAAACAAGTGAAGATGTTAATATAGTTATTCTAGATGTGAACGGGCCATTACTGTCATTACTCTCTACATGTGTCTTGTTTTCTGTCAGCTCTGCACAACAGATCGAGAGTTCAGTTAACTGCATT